AGTAGCCGCATTCAAGACACCGAGCAGATAGAACAGGGAGCTCTGCCCCGTGGGCTGGATGTCAGGTGGCAGAGACTCCTGTCCAGGTAGACTTCTAGGTTTCTGGCTTGAGGAGCTGAGCTGGGAATGGGAGAGGCAGACCGGGTGTGGTTGAGGAGGAGAAAGATAACCTTCATCTGTGGTGTGTGCAGGTGGAGTGCCTGAAGTCCATCGAGACAGAGGCATCTCGCAGGGGACCAGATATGTGGGCTGGAGTGGAGGACACAGCCTGGGTGATGCAGGCATTGCCCCAATCCCATCTGAGGTCTCCTCTCAGGCCTTGCAGAAGCTAGGCTGGTGTTGGCCTGGAAGGACCTTCATACTCAAGGAGACAGTTATCAGCCATGTAGCACATGACACTGAAGGTCTTATGACATGGAGCTCCCACCCCACCCCAGTTCTTGGTACTGGTCAGCACTTATCTCCACCAAAGCGGATGGCCAGGGAGCCAGTCCTCCCTCCTCTTCCTCTGACCTTCTCAGCTGCCCATGGCAAATTTACCCGCCTGGGAGCCAGAGCTTGGAGAGAGGTAGCCAGAGAAAGTCCACTGCTTCCTCCGGCCAAATCTGATGTCCCATGGGCCCTGGGCTCTGGCTTCTCCCAGGACCCCTGTCTGCTGGCCACATGGGGAATTCTTATGAAAAATCTGCACCCCATTTGTGTTCCTCTCCACCAAAATACAGCCCCTGTTTGGTTAATTTCTATTTTGTGGCTTATCTGGAAGCTGTTAAAACAGACCCCGGGGGACCCTCTGCAGTGATTGTTCCATATCTCATTATCTTTCCTGAACCCGATTGTTAGCTCAGATTTTTCTGATCGCTAGCTGCTGTTCGTGATGAGTTGTGTGCCATTAATGCCAGCTGGTTCCCTTAAACAGGACCCACCATGCCAGGGAAAGTGAGCTGGCATTCAGAGCCACCAGCCACTTGGCTTTTTAATTTTAATGGGTTCCACCAAATGTTCCAGGCCAAAGGGTCCCCAAGGAACCAGAACAGACAGGCTCCCAACCCAGTCAGCAGCCCACTCTGGTTCCTTCCCAGGCTGTGGCCATCCTAGCTGTTGGGACAGTAAGGTCTGGATTGGGGGCCTCCCCTGTATTCATGCCTTCTTGCCACCAGGCGCATCCTTGATGAGTGGACGGCATGACCTCAATGGCTCCTAGCGAGCTTGCAGCCACACATGTGCCTGGGCCTTCCCCCTACTTTGCTGGTCCCAGCCCCTTCCCACATGCTCAGGCATGTGGGCTGTGCACTTAGAAAAGTGTGTGTGCCTCACTAAATCTCACCCGTCCATGTTGGGGAGACCCTGGTGGCTTCAGGGAAGGGGAGGCCAGAAGAGACCTGGGACCCAAGAATTGTTTTTCTCTTCTTTCCTCCTCCCTAGCCTGGGCTCCCACCTGGGGTCGGGGAGACAGGCTGGGTCATCACTCTGGGCTGTCCCAATCCTAGACGGTGGGAAGAACAGCCAGCCAAGGAGGGGAAGGCTTGAGGGCAGTGGTCATGTCTGAGTGTTTGCTACAACCAATGACCACTATTCCTTCCTGCCCTCCCACCACCCTTCAGCCTGGCCTGCCCTCAAGAGGCTGCCAGGGAAGGGTTCCAGCTCCCTGCTGGCTTCTCAGAGGACTCCTGCTTCCCATTCCTCCAGCACTTCCTGCATCTTTCCAAACAAATGTGGAGGGTTTTGAACCCAGACCTTCTATATTCTAGCTGCTGAGGGCAGAGGTGGCTCAAGACTCCTATCTTCTCTGCCTGGAGCTGCCTTCCAGGCATCTGGGCCCCAGCCCCAGGCTGGTCTTTTCAGGGAGGCTTTTGCTTTGCAAACAGCCAGTTTTAAATGGCTTGTAGTAATTTTAAAAAATGGCCTGTCAGACATTCCTCATTGAGATGGAAGACAGTTGGAAAGTAAATAGCACAGTGGCTATAAGAGCAAGGCTTTGGAATTAGCGGACCCTGGGTTTGAATCCTAGTTTCACCTGCCTCCTAATAGTGTCTGTCCTTGGGCAAAGTTACTTAACCTATCTGAACCTGTCTGAACTTCTCTGAATCTGTTAAAAGGGGCAACACGCCCTATCTGTAAGCCTGCTAGTGGGGATTTAATTAAGATGTTTCACACGGTGTGCCCCGCACTTGGCTTGGTATCTCCACATGCCCCTTTCCTTTTCCTCACGGCTAACGCCCGCCTGTGTGTCCTCTGGCCTCCCTCTACAATGGCACCTTGTAGGAACATATTCCCTGGTATTTTGGGAGGTTGGGGGAACCATTTCTGAGTCACAGAGGTAGTCACTTACTGCTGAAAGTGGGGAGACCTGGCCTTGGTGAGTTCCATCTGAGCAGCAGGGGCAGCCTGGAAGCAGGGCCACAGGGCCCAGGGTGGACAGGCAGCACCCCTCAGCCTGCCCCCACCCCCTCCACTGAAGTGTGTCCAAGCTGCCACACGTCTCTGTGCCTCCCTGCCTCCCCTCGAGCAGGCAGAGAGGATAAGACTTTGACTCTGACCACCAGCTTGAGGCTTTAAATGGAGGCCAGGCACCTGAGGGCCCAGGCTGGCTTTGCCTGGCAGCACTCTGGCTCCGCGGGGTCCTGGACTGCCCAGGGAATGGCGGGCTGGCACTTCTTATCTTCCTAGGCCTCACAGTTACGGCCTGGGCTGGGCCATTCGTGCCGTGCCTGCCCTGATTTGACTGCTGTGGGCACCCTGCAGCCCTGGAGGCTTTCCCAAGGTTCTTCATCTTCCCCAACAACCCAGAAGGTTGAGGCCAGAGCCAGGGTGGCCTGCTGAAACACCAGGT